TCCAAAGAAGGCAAATCTGTAGAGACAGAAAGCAGGTTAGTTGTTGCAAGGGGTTGTGGGAAGGAGGAGGAGAGTGATTACTTAACGTGTACTGGGTTTCCTTCTTTGTATGATGAAAATGTGTTGGAACAAGATAGAAGCGATGCTTACACCACGTTGTGAATGTACTAAATGCCACTGATTTGTGTTTTACCTCCATAAAAAATATATTTCCAGCAGCTAGACAAAATGCCATTACGTACAGAGGATCAACAACTCAAAATACCGAAGACTTTTCAGTAGATATCATGAGGATCACGAGACAGTGGAAAAGTAATTTCAAAACTCTAGGAGACAAGGACACCAAGGTCAAGAGGTTCAGATCCCCATACTGGCCAGTGCCCCCCCCCAAAAAAAAAGAGAGAGAGAGAGACAAAGAGTCAACCTAGAATTCTATTTTCAGCAAAAAATTCTTAAGAAATGAAAGCAAAATAAGGTAATTCTTAAGGGAAGGAACACTAAGAAAATCTGTTTCCAGCAGACCTGATGTAAAAGAAATGTTAAAGAAGTTCTTCAGGAAGAATACTATGGCAATAATTCCGGAGCGAAATGTGAAAATTCAAAAATAAATGAAGATCAACCAAAATGGAAAATATTTTGGTAAATAAAATACGATGTTTTTCTCTTCTTAATTCTTTAATAAATGCATGGCTTTTGAAATAAAAATTCTAATTTTGTCTGATGGGGTTTGAATGTATGTAGATGTAATACTAACAATTACAACATAAAGAGGTGAAGGAGGATAAAGGGACTTACATGTTTCTAAGATTGCAATATTTCAATTGAAGAGGTAAAATATTTAACTTGACTGTATAAAGTTAGGTGTGTATATTATAATATTAGAATGGCCACTTAAATGCATACAAAAAGTTATCGTTAAAAAGCTGATAGGTAAATTAAAGTCAAATAATAAAAATATTTTTGTTTTCATTTATTTACTTTTTATACCTGAAAATATTTGTTTCTGAAAACAAATAATTTTATAAATTAAATTACTTTAAAATGTGATTGTTAACTTGTTAATTTGAAGGAATAAAAGTTCTTCTTTAATTTGAATAATAACTTAAATAATTGTCTATTTAATAAATCCAGACTTTTCTGAGAAGTCAAACCAAATATTGCATAGAAGATTATGTTCCTGAACAAAGCCATGTGTTTTAAAATTACAAAACCAGAGCAATATTTCCCAAAGTGTATTCTACAAAATATGTTTTCTTTCTTTTTTTCGAAAATGTAATTTTTAAAATTGGTTTATTTTTTTATTGGAACATAGTTGATTGTACATATCCGTGGGGTACAGCATTGAATATCAATACCTTTGCAATATGTGATGTTCACATCAGGATAATTAGTATATTCTTCATTATACAATGTAATCAGTTTTCATGGTCCTTTATCAATTCCTCCCCCTGCCCCTGACCTCTGGCAACCTCAGTTCTATTTTCTTCTCTTAAAAGTTCTCTTGGGAGTGGCGGCGCTCCCGCCGAGGGTTCGGATCCCACATACAGACCGGTTCCCGCTCACTGGCTGAGCGAGGGACGGGCGCGGCACCGAGGGTTGCGATCCCATTGCCGGTCCCAGTCTGGTACGGGCGCGACACTGAGGGTTGCGGTCCGTTGCCGGACATGAAAAAAGACAAAAAGGAAAAAAAAAAAATTCAACGTATTATTGTGATTCTTGTATCCTTATTTATTTATTTAGCTCCTCCATATAGATGAGGACATGCTCGCTTTCTATGCCTGGCTTATTTCACTTAACAATTTTCTCTAAGTTCATTCATGTTGCTGTGAATGGAAGTATTTCACTCTCTTTTTTTTTATGGCAGTGTAGTATTCCATTGTATAAATATGCCAAAACCCCTTCTACATGCAGCCTACAAGAAATTCACTTTAGATATAATGATGTACATGGGTTAAAAGTATGAGTGAATAACATGGATGAATGTTGAAAACATTATGCTAAGTGAAATAGCTAGACACAAAAGGACAAATAGTGTATGACTCCCCTTATATAAGGTACCTAGAGTAGGCAAATTTCTAGGGACTGGATATAGCATAGAGATTACCAGAGGCTGGGGGTAAGGGGATATGGGAAGTTTTTTAATGGGCACAGAGTTTCTGTTTTAGACATTGAAAATGTTCTGGAAATGGACAGTGGTGATGGTTGCACAACACGGTGAATGTATTTAATTTACTGAATTGTACACTTAATCATGATTAAAATGGTAAATTTAATGTCATGTATATTTTATCACATTAAAAAGGTAGCAGGATAAAAAAATGCATTATACAAACACTAAACCACAGTGGAGCATTGGACTTGCAGAGAGAGAGAGTATATACCTAGGATTGCAGAGTGGAGAGGGGTGAGGGAGGAGGGAGATCGGGGATTAATTGGGTGGGGGACACGGGGAATAATTGCAATTTGTGGCAATGGGCATGCTGCTAGTATTGATCTGGCTATGATCTTGGGCAAAGACGGTGACGGTCAGCTTTGTACCCCATGAATATTCATAACCAATAATAAATACAGATAATTTAAGTGGCTTCATTAGTTTCCTATTGATGCTGTAACAAATTAACACAAACTTAGTGGCTTAAAATAACAAAAATTTATTATCTTACAGTTCTGGAGGTCAGAAGCCCAAAAATTATTCTTACTGGGCTTAAATCAAGGATGGGGACACATTCATCTATTCACCTTTGTCCCGAACCTGAAGTCTGAAACGTAATTGATTTTTATATATTGATCATGTTTCCCAGTGATATTGGAATTTTCCTTTTTAATTTCAGTGATATGTCTTTATATTATTTTAGATTTTGTATGCACATAATTGTGTAATCTGTGAGTAATATATTCTTATCCATTTCAGTGCTTAACACTTGTTTCATTTAATTGATTGGTACCTCCAGTACCATGCTGAATAGACGTCATCATGGAAGACATGCTTGGGTCATTCCCAATAATAGAGGGAAATACTCCAAGTTCTCACCTTCAAAAATGATGTCCAGTGTAGATTTTTAAATATGCCTTTATAAATTATAGGAAATTCTCTTTTATTTATGATAAGTTTTGGCTTTCATTACGAATTATTGGTATATTTGACCAAAAGCTTTGCATCTAGTGAGATGATAATTTTTAATATATGTATTATGAATACATAATATTGAATTATATTGATTGATTTTTTAATGCACACGTGCAGTTTATTATTTTTTATTTTAATTTTTTTATTGAATCATAATTGATTATACATATTTTTGAGATTCAATGTTGACATGTTGATCAAATCAATATTACTAGTATGTATATTGTTGCAAATCATACTTATTCTTTATGCTCCTTGTCCAAACTCTTCCTATCCCCTTCTTCCCCCTCCCTCCCACCACTGATAACCCTCGATTTCTTCTCTTATTCTCTTGATTTGTTGCCTAGATGATCTGTCCAATGCTGAAAGGTGTGTTCAGGTCCCCCAATATTATAGAGCAGATGCTTCTTCTGTCACTCTGGAATGGGCTTTGTGGAAAGAGACATCCTCTTCTTTTCTTTGGTCTCTGCTGGGAACTCTCCTTGTGTCAATGCACTCCAGTGGCTGGCTGACCATCTGTGTGTGGTTGTGATGTCTAGCCACTTTTGCAGCAGCTGTGGTTACTGTGGTGGCTGTGGTAGGCCACCCACATGGAGGTGATGTTTTTGGCATGCTCCTTGGTGCTGGTGGTGTGCCTGGTTGCAGGCAGGGGGTCCAGTCCCTGGCTCAATGCCCTGGGCCCCTGAGTGGGTCCCAAGGTGCTGGTGGTATGCCTGGGCCTAAACTAATTTTTTGTCCTTTGCTTACTACTAAAATGGGGGAACTTCCTGTGGGAACCAGTACTTGAGGTGTGTGGTTGTTTAAGTTGCTGCTTTCTTGCTGTTTCCCTAGGGAAGACTTTTTGTGCCCTCAGGGTTTAATGGTTGATCTTATAGGTACTTCTGGCTCTCCTGGGTTGTATAGAAACTCTGACCCAGGTCTGAGTTTTTTCATCAAACTGCACCCCATGCAATTCTGCATTCCCGACCAGTCTCCTCTGAGTGGTCCTGAGCTGATTGGGAGGTGGATCAGCTGTCCTTGCTGTGTCCCAGTGTTCTCCTGGTGGGCCCATCTCCCTTACCAACCCTGCTCCAAACACTTCCCATGGAATGAGCCCCACGCCAGTCCCTTGCAATTATTCACCAACCTCTGAATGGCTCCCCTTTTTCAGCTGTTCTGGCTCCTTGCTCCTGCGTGGGTCCATGGGAACTCTATTACTGGTCTTGGTGTCCTGGGGGCCACCAAGGCCCTGTTCTCCCCTGCCGCCTCCAAGCAGCTTCAGCCGAAGGGCACAGCTATGGCTTCTGCAGCTCCCGCTCTGTGCCCTCAGCAGCTTCAGCCTTAAAGTGGCCGCAGCACGAAACGTTCCGAGTAGTTTTTTTCTTTCTCTCATCGTGGCTTCTCCCGCTTCATGCACTCTGTAGGTCTCTCCTCCTCTTCCCCTGAGCTCCAGTGGCCCTGGCTTGGCCGTTGTTATATTTTTATAGTTGTAAACTGGTTGATTTGTGGGAGAGAGTGACACCGAGGACTGTCTATTTCGCCATCTTGACCAGAACTCTTGACTGATTTTTGAACTTTAAGTTATCCTTGTCATCCCCCCTCCAAATAAACCCCATCATAATCATGATGTTTTGCCCTTCTTATGTATTACTAAGTCTTATTTGTAAATATTTGTTGGAGATGTACATCTAAGTTCATGTGAGCATCTTCCTGTGACTTTCCTATTTTGTAGTTTCCTTGATAGGTTTGCTACTAATTTTTTACCTGTCTGATAAAATGTGTTGGTGTGTATTTCTTGGCTTTCTGTTCTGAAAGAAAGTTTGTGTAAGTTTGGTGTGTGTGTTTCATAAGTGCACAAGTGTCCAGAAGAAGTCACCAACAAAGCCTTATGAGCTGGCGTTTATTTTGTGAAAATTTTTATTACAGAGCGAATGTACTTAATACATATAAGGTGATTTAGATTTCCTATTTATTCTTTATGTCTGTTAAGTAAATCGCATATTTGATGATTTTGTCCATTTTATTCACATTTTATAATATATTAGCATAAAATTGGTCATAATGTTCAGTTATTATCTTTTTTTGGAGGCGGGGGGTGGGCGGGCAGCTGGCTGGTATGTGGATCTGAGCCCTTGATCTTGACATTATCAATAACTTTTTAAATTGGGTAGGATCTGTCGTGCTGCCCACGATTTCATTCCTATATGGAAATGTGGGCCTGCTCTCTCTTTTTCTTGCTCATTGTGGCTAGGATTTATAAATGTCATTAACGTTTTCAAGAATGAACGTTTTTGGCTTTAATAATTTTTATCTATTTTTCGTCCTTGTTAGCAGGTACTCTTATTATTACTTCTTTCTTTCTATCTTCATTTGCAATAATTTACTATTTTTCTAAATTCTTGTTATGATCATTGATTTTTTAAGGCTTTTTCTTTCCTAATACATTCATTCATGGCTCTTAATTTTCCATTTTAGAGGTTTGGTGTATAATATTTACATTGTCATTCAATTTAAAACATTCTCTTGCTTCTGTTGTGTTTTCTCATTTTACTCATTGATTACTGAGAAGTCTGTTGCTTTATTTCCAAAATGTAGAGATAGTCTTTGACTGCAGAATCAAGTGACTTGCAGAAGGTCTCAGCATCTCCTGGTGGTCCAGGTGAGGTGTGCAGGCTGGCTGGGGTTCGTTAGTGAGTGTCACTGGGGCAGCTCCTGTGCCTTCCGGGGTCCCTGGATCTCCCTCTTGGAGTTGGAGTCTGGGTCCTTCCTGGGCTAGTGAATGGCCACAGTAGCGTACACACTGGACTCAGCTGCAGCGTCACCGTCCTGGGACGAAGGAAGTTCAGTTGTCTCCTGTCTGAGGATCAAGCTGTCCAGCTGGGCATAAGTCACGTCCTGGGGATCTTGAGATGAAGCAGCCTGGAGTGGGGGAGAGTGAGATGGAAGGTACGTGACGTTCAGTTGTCTCCTGTCTGAGGATCAAGCTGTCCAGCTGGGCATAAGTCACATCCTGGGGATCTTGAGATGAAGCAGCCTGGAGTGGGGGAGAGTGAGATGGAAGGTACGTGACTGGGGTTGGGGAGAATTCTGGGGGCCTGGAGAGGAAAGGACCCACCTGACTCTCCCTCTGCCTGTCCTCTTCTGCTTGTCTGTTCTTTGTGTCCAAGAATTCCCCTGACATGGGGAAAGGATGGGTGGCCACTTCCTGCCTGAGTCTTGAGTGGCTTTTCTTGCTGTATGTGTCTTCCTGGGGGTGTTCATCAAGTGGGCTCTGTGGAAGAGAGACAATGGGGGCGTCTATTTGATTTCACTTGACCTCCCTTGGTTAAATTTCCACACTGTTGCCAGAGTGATCCGTTAAAAATTTAAATAAAATTATGTTGTTTTCCTGATGAAATTTTCAGGGACTCCCTAAGGCCTTGGAAGGTCTGGCACTTCCTTCCTTTAGTTCTGACCTTTAATCCTAACAGTCTGACCTTTGCTCATCTGGCTGCAGACACACAGCCCATCTTCCTGAGCAAACATGTTCCTGCCTCAGGACCTTTGTACTTGCTGTCTCCTCTGCCTGCAGGTGCTCATCAATTATATGTTTGTATGGCCTTCCTCTTTCAGGCTACTTCTCAGATGACAGCTTATCAGAGAGTCCTCCCCTTATAATTCAGACTGATCCACTCTGCCCCCACACACGCTATCCTCCCACTTTCCTTGGTTTATTTTACTTAACAGCACTTTGCACTCCTGGACACTCTGCATTTGTTTGCATATTGTCTCTCCCACAAGGTGAGCTCAGGGAGGGTGGAGACAGCTTTGGTCACTGCTGTGTCTGCAGCACCTACATGGAGCCTTTCAAGAGTGAGCTCTCTGTGAATATTCGTTGGATGAATGGATGAAAGGGGCCCAGAGGGCTTGCGTGGTTCATTTATTCTTGCATCCTGCTGAGACCTGGGGGAGCACTCTAACAACCAAACAGAGGATGAGGATCCAGAAAGGGGACCAGGGGGGGCCCAGAGGGCTTGCGTGGTTCATTTATTCTTGCATCCTGTTGAGACCTGGGGGAGCACTCTAACAACCAAACAGAGGATGAGGATCCAGAAAGGGGACCAGGTAGGAGGAGCCCCTGAGATCACAGGAAAACTAGGAGTGAGGTCACAGCAGGCAGGCAGCAGCGTGCTTTGAGAAGGGAGGGTCAGCTGTGGAAGGACGCTGACAGCTGAGTGGTGGGAGCACAGAGAAGTGTCTGTTGGATTAAGTTTGGCAACAGGAAGGCCTTTGGTGCCCTGGACAGGGGCAGGGATCTCACCCGACTGTCCAGCTCCATGCCGTCCTCAGGCTGTGTGTCCTTTATGGAAGCATCTGCTGGGGCAGAACAAGCGGTTCATCTCTGGGCAGGATTCTGTGGGATCTTTCCATCCTACAGGCCCCTGCCCTGTTCCCAGATGGGGCCACTGAGATCTAGGGAGTGGTGATGATATCCCCAAGTTCACGCAGTGTTGGGATTCAGTCCTTCTTACACCTGAGCCCCAGACCCTTCCCAGCCCGTCGCCCTCCCCCATTACCTACTGAAACCTTGGCGCCCACCCCTCCTCCTCATCTCCCACCCCGAGTGGCCCCTCTTCTTCCTCTCACAGGGATTTTCTTCCTGGATGTCAGCAGCTGGGCTGGAGCTGGGGAGGACACAGGTGTGTTAGGTGGCAGCGAGGGGGCCACAGGTGAGGGTGAGAGTCTGGGATCTTCAGGAAAAATTACCTCTTCTGTAGGCCTCTGTCCTTTGACTCTGGTGCTGAAGCCCCTGCAGGAAGTTGGAAATCAACCTGTCTCTGGGTTGGGTGATGGACAGAGAGTCTCAGCCCTGGAAATGTTAGAACCACCTACCCTCCACATGCAACTCAAGAATAAAGAAGGAAACTTTAAAACACAGGTGCATATGTTTCAAATATTTTATGAGATTGAACAAACTCAAAGAATACCTTCAGTTTGTGCATGTGTGCTGACATTAAGTGCTTCTTTCTAGATTTTCTGATTTGAAATGCTGGAGATGTTTTTCTTTTTTTAAAGAATTATTTAATTAATTAATTTATTTTTATTGGTTATGAATATTCATGAGATACAAGGCTGATTGTCCCCCCTCGTGCCCTAGATGTGAAGGCCAGATCCATATTGGCAGCATGCCCATTACCACAAATCGCGATTGTACCCTGTCTCCCCCACCCAATTATCCCCAACCTACCTTCCCTTCCCCCTTTTCCCCACTCCACTTTGTGTCACTAGGTATGTTCTCTCCCTCTGCAAGTCCAATGCACCACCGTGGTCTTTCTTTCCTTCCTTCTTTGGAGAAATTTTTCTAAGCTGACTTTCCCCATCGGTTTGGTTTCATTTGGCTGGTGCCTTGAGCCCACACTTGGCTCGCCCACAGGGAAACCCACCACCTCATGAGGCCTGGGTTATCCCATTCCTTACTCACCCAGCTTCTTCTGTTTGCTCCGATGCTGGTGTTGGATGAGGAGGAAGAGGAGGATGCAGAGCAGCAGGATGAAGGCCACTAAGACCCCGATCAGAATGTTCTGGTAGTTTTTGAGAACTTGGGTACAAGTGACATCGTGAATGAACCAATGATGCTATTTAATTGAGCACCTACTGTGTGCCTGGCACATACTGGGTCTTTGTATTCATCATCTCCAAACCTTGTAATAATCATGCAACATGGCATCGCCACCCGCACTCCATGCATTTTACAAATGAGGAAACTGAAGCTCAGAATATATCACCTACCACAGGACACCCGGCCAGCAAGCGGCAGAGCTAGGAACTGAACCCAGGTAGTCTGACTTTCCAACCCTTGTTCTTTCCACTAGAGCTGAGCACCCCTAGCTGAAGGAAAAAAACCTGAATGGCCCCTAGCATGGCCCTGCTTCCCCTCCCCTGCACAATGACACCATTACTGCTCAGATGGGACAGGTCTTCTGCAGGATTGTGTCCTGGGGGGCTTCCCTGGGAGGCCTCCTCTCCCAGGAGGTCACAGTGAGAAGTTAGAACTATAAGGAACTTTAGGATCTGGGGAGGCTTTTTTCTTTCCATTTCCTTTCACACTTGGAGAAACTGAGGCCTAGATAGGAGAAGGTCTTGTCCAAGTCGCCATATCCAAAGATGCCTGAACTGATGACATAACTCAGCCTTGCCTCCCATGGACCCCACTACCAGCTCCTAACACAGCCCCTCACTTACCACTCAGTGTTCCAGCTTCTGTGGGGGAGGCGGGCTGATCCTCAGGGCCTCCTGTGGGGGAGGGGGGCTGATCCTCAGGGCCTCCTGTGGGGGAGGGGGGCTGATCCTCAGGGCCTCCTGTGGGGGAGGGGGACTAATCCTCAGGGCCTCCTGTGGGGGAGGGGGGCTGATCCTCAGGGCCTCCTGTGGGGGAGGGGGGGAGGTGAGGGTCTGGGGCTGCTGTGCTCCCCACTTCATCCTGGCTGCTGCTGATCCTCAGGGCCTCCTGAGATTGGGACAGGGAGGTGAGGGTCTGGGGCTGCTGTGCTCCCCACTTCATCCTGGCTGCTCCTCCCCTGGCCGGGACCCCAACATCTCCCTGTGCCTTGACCTCCCACCTCACAGCCAGCCCAGCCTCAGAACCCCTGGGAGCCTGTGGTTCTTGCTTGTGTCTCTTCCCCCTGGAGACAAGCTTGTCCTTGATTATGTGAGGGGGGATGAGATCCTTTGAGACTTAGAAGTGCCCCTGGGGGGTCTGTACTCTCTGTGCCAATGTACTTCAGTGACCAGGTGGTGAGAAGGGCCCTGTAGGTGGGGGACTTGGGCCACCAGTGGATCCTGAGCATGTGCACAGAATGGAGGTTGAGTTAGGGCTTCCGCAGAAGTCCCCACCTCCACTCAAACTCTTCTACATCTGCCCTGTGGCCTCCACACGACCCTCCCTCTGCCCATGAGACACCTTCTGGACCAAAGTTGATGGGGACAGGGGCGGGCTGGCCTGGGACAGCCGCTGTTGGCCTCTCCTCCCTGAGGAATAGATCCCCCTCTGGCTGACCCTCCCTCAGAGGTCCCCTCACTCCCATCACAGCCTAGAGCTCTCCTGGGTACAGGGTCTTAAGCTGATCCTTTGAGCTCAGAAAGGACAGGGTCACCAGCCCCTCACCTGAAACAGGAAACTCCAGAGGGTCACTGGGGTATGACAACAGGTAGGGGGAGGTGCTTTTTGAACCATAGCACCTGTAGGTCCCCCTGTGGGCTGAGGTCACAGGACTCATGGAGAATTCAGCCTGGTACTGCCGAGCATGGTACTTCGATCTAAGATGCAAGAGGGGATAAGCTGCTCCCTCCTTGAAGAGAAGGAAAGTGTCCATCTGGCTCTTTGACTGACACAGCAAGGTCACGTTCACTCCTGAGGTCACCGTGGGGCCCGGCAGCACTGAGAGGGAGGGTCTGTCAGGGATCCATCCTAGAGAGAAGAAGGATGGGTGAGGGGCTGCCCCGCACCTGTTCTGAGCTGAGATCTCACAAGGATCTTGCTCTGAGGACCCTCAATCTGTCTGTCTATATTTTCTGAGTCTCTCTTCCCCCATCCCCTGTCTCTCTCTGTCTCTCTCTCTGTCTTGTGACTCCTCCCCTCATCCTGGCCATCACCACCTGGGGCTCCCCCAGCAGGGCCTGTACAGATTCTGGGTCCCTGACTGAACCCGCTGGGCTCCTCACCTGCGATCAGGATGTCCAGGGGGTCACTGGGGGCCGACCACTCAGAAGACAGGTTGTGTGCACCGTAGCACCTGTACCTGCCCCCATGGGAGTTGCTCACAGGACCCAGGGGAAAGTCGGCCTGAGAGAGCCCAGCCTGGGTCTGCCAGCCAGAGCCCTGGGGGAGGTCACAGCCCCCCTCCTTGGACAAAGCGAATCTGTTGTAGCCAACATCAGAGCGACACTGGAGGGTCAGGCTGTCTCCATAGGCCACGACAGGGCCCTGCTGGGTCAGGAGGGAGGGCTTTCTGGACGCTCCTGGAAGGAAAGTCGAGCTGTGGATGCAGGAACTGGTTCCTACCAAACTCCTCCCTTCTTTCTTTTCCTGGCTGGGATTTTCAGTGTCACTGTTTTCCTCACTCTGTGATTGTGTCCCTAGGACTCCTGTGTTCCCCCTATGGTTTCTTCTCACCTGGCGCTGTCCTGAGAGTGAGGCTCCCAACAACCTGTGGAGCCCCAAAGTTACTTATGGGAAGGCTGTGGGTTTCTCACCTGAGACCAGGAGCTCCAGGGTATCACTGGGGCCTGACCACACCTGGGGTATGTGCATGTAATAGCCAAAGCATCTGAATGTCCACCTGTGGCTGCGGGTCACAGGGCCCACAGGGAACAGGGCCTGGACCTGCCCATTGTGCCGCTGTGAGACCCAGGTTTGATGGAGCTTGCGTTCTCCATCCTCAGCCAGAATGAATCCACCAAATCCTAGTTGTGAGCAACACTGGAGTGTCACGTTCTCTCCTGAGGTCGCAACAGGGCTGGGCAAGGCTGAGAGGGTGGGTTTGCTGTAGACTCCTGGGAGAGAAGGAGGCAGCTGTGTTAAGTGGGGCTCACATCTGCCACATTATCCCCTGCGGCTGGGCTGTGAGATGGAGACACCCCTGAGAGTAGACCACTTTATTGAGGGCAAAGCCTGAGGCTGGGACCCCTGAGTGTCCTCTCACCTGTCACCACCAGCTCTAGGGGGTCACTGTGCTCTGACCACCCAGCAGGGCTGTGATAGTAACAGTGATATCGCCCTGCATCGTGCTCTGTCACGGATGGGATGGGGAACTTGGCCTTGTTCCCAGGCTCCAGTGGGATCTGTCTGATCCAGGTTGCTGGTCTTCCCTCTTTATACAGACGGTACTCCTGGGCCTCCAGGGTCCCCTGACAACAGATGGTCACCGGCCTCCCCCGAGTCATCACAGAGTCTGGCTCAGCCCAGATGATGGGTTTGGGGAGGTTCCCTGGGAGAAAATCAGAGGCTGGGTCTTAGACACCCCCACCCCTCAGATCCCAACTCTCAGCCCCAGGACCCTCCCAGTCATTCCCATCAGTTAGTCCAGAACTGCTGCTCTCCATCCCCAGCTGACCCAGGTGGCCCTTGTACCCAGTGAGGAGGTGGGACCTGAAAAACCTGGGGACATACTCACCTGCCTGCACTGGAGTCCTGAGGCCCAGACCCATGCCTAGAAGAGAGTTTTCTGTGAGAAATTTGCTCCCTGAAGCCTGAGCAGATCCTCACCTCCCTGGGAGCCTCCTGGGCCCCTGGGATCTCCTAAGGGACGAAGTCTTGGCTGTGGGGTGGGGTCTCTCCCAGGCTAAGGGGGTCTCCTCTCCCCTTCTTTAAATCTCACCAAGGCAGAGCAGGACCTTGAGGATGGGGGTCATGGTGCCTCCTCCCACGGGCCCTTGCTGTGCTGATGATGAGATCTTAATGTCTGGCAGGAAAGACACACAGGATGTTGTCACTCTGAGTGTGGGTTTTGCCCATCACAAGATTATCTAATCAGTAGCCCCACAGGAAGGGGAAGTGCTTCTCTCCAGAAGCTTGGTTCTCGTTTCCCCAAGGCTGGTGCTGGGGCAGGCACCAGGCTCTCGGCAGATATTTTAGATGGAAATTGGGTCTCCCTGGTCATTGTTTGCCTGATCTGTTCTCAACTCACTGAAGGCCAATAGCTCCAAATAGAGCTGGTGCTTTCCCCATTCCAGATGAGTGTGATCGGGGCTGGTCTTTCCGTCTCAGAGCCTCCCCATGGGGCTACCTTTTCTCCTTCAGCCCATCCATCGTCACATGGTTGCGTTGTCCTTATCATGGCCAGTTGTCTCTCCAGCCCTGGAGATGCTTCAGGGAAGATGCAGACTCACACTGCACAGCAGACTCAGATCAGCAGAGACACATTCAACATCTGACTGTGCAGTTCACATTGAGCTGCATTGTGGCAAAGCACACAAAGGAGAGATGCAGGGAAATAAAGAAAAAAAAAAAAAGACTCTTCTCCTGGTGCTGGAGTGTGGATTTTCTACCAAACAGTCTTCTTCTTGGACATCCGCCCACCTTCCCCTTTTTATTGCAACAGGGTCCATCCCCGCCTCCCTCGGAACAAACCTCTGAGTCATTTCTGCCTCCTCAAGGTGCCCCTTGTTTCCTTGGACATCCCTCTGCACCTCAATCTGTGTTTAGCAATTACTTACGTTTAAGCTCTAAATTGGGGGTTGGGTGGGGAGTTTTTATTTTTTTTGGTTTAATTTCTGATTATCATCCACAGTCTGCATGACCTTGGGCAATAAGTTCTCATCCCTGTGCCTCAGTTTCCTCGTTTGGAGCATGTTGTCATGAATCCCACTCCTTAGAGGCATTGTAGGGATCAGTGGTGGCTGGGACATGGGAGGGGCTCAATTATGGTTAATTTCCAGACCAGGTTAAGACATGAAGGGGTTGGGACATGAGAGGATCCTGATGTCAGACTCCATAGTCAAGGTGAACCGTGGATGTGTCCATTTAGGAGCCCCCATGTGCTCCTAACATGGAGGAATTCTATTTAGAATATTTCTGAAATAAGTGGATCATCGCAGTCATGAGAAAAAAAAAGAGAAATGAAAGTTCCGTGAGTGGAGAGGGATCCACATCAAGGAACAGAGGCCAAAGCTGAGTGGCCACAGGTGCCTGGGACCACTGAGAGGTCATTAGGATGGAAGTTTCCATCTCTGAGTGGGCACAGAAGAGGAACCCCAGAGTTCACACAGACAGGCAGGTTACAGGGCCCCAGATGAAGGTTGGAGGCTGTTTCGTCTAGCCAAACCTGAGGCCAGTCACCCTAAAAGCAGCTCAGGGGTGTTCCCACAAGGATTTATGCCAAACTGGTCGGGATTTCAAAGAAAAAAGCACTAAACACCAGGGTGTTCATTGCAAATCATTTATTAAGGGAATTTGTGTACAGAGAAGGCTGCTGCCTGTCCTCACAACAAGATCTAAAACAAGACAAGGGATGTTCTACCTAGGTATGTCCCCAATGAGGGGGTCTGGCTGTGGAGTTTTACAAGAGAGTTTAAGGAATCTGTTTCAGGATGGGGCTAGTTTCTACATGTTTAGCAAAAGGGCCTCTTGTATTATCATTATCTTATTATCTTATTAGACTGGTATTAAACCCTCTTTCTGCAATAATCTTGATAGCCATGGGAATCTTCTCTGAAGGGCTGTACCAGACCTTCCATCCCAGCGTGGGTGGAGTTGTAGACTCCACAGTGATGGGGCTGTTGAATCCACTGCATTAGCACCACTGTGGTGCCGGTCGGCATGGGGATGCTGCCTGCCCATACTGACAGTGTGTCCCCTTGGGCTCTTTAAGAATAACAATGAAAAAATGGGTGTGAAGTCCAGGGCAGTGGTGGTCTCCTGCGTAAAGGGAAAAAGAATACCAATTTCTATGGCCTGAATGTTCCCCCAAAACTCATTGGAGCTTGATCCTCTTATAACAGTGTTAACAGAGTGGGAAATCAGACTATTGTATTTGAAAGGTGGGGCCTTTGGGAGGTGTCTTCATGAATGAATTAATCCATTCATGGACAGTGGGCAATGGTTTCATGGTTTATTAAGGAGTAGACTGGGTGCTTTATCAGGACAGGAAGAAGCACATTAGCATATTCTTACTTAATGATACCCTCTGCTGCGTTGGAACTCTGCAGAGAGTTGCCACCAAGAACAGGCCCTCAACAGATGTGCCCCCTGCACTTTCCACTTCCTTGCCTCCGAACCATAAGAAATACATTTCATTTTAAAATAAATTACCCAGTTTCAGGTATTCTGTTATAAGCAACAGAAAATGGACTAATATACCAATCTAGCCCAGAGGCACTTTCCACCCCAAGTCCCATCTCAGGTCCTGCCAGGGCACTCTGGGATAAGGGAATCCCCAAATCAGGGCATCCTGTGTGGAACTGCATTCTGGGTTTCAGGCAGTCTCTGATTTGTTGCATATTTGCATGGCTTATGTCAGGCTCTTGACGTCTACTGGATGTTCATAAGCTGACTATCTTCCCATAACAGGGGCCTCATTCAAGTTTTTATTAAGACCACAGCCCAATTTCTTAATGAGGGGAGTCCTGTCAAGACCTTAATTTGTTCCTTTAAGACGCCATTTTTCCTCTCTATAAGTCCTGCTCCTTGTGGGTTGTAGAGCAGATATAACTGTCATGCAATGCTCTCCTTTTTTGCTCAATCTTGAATTAGGAAGTCCGTGAAATGTGTTCCTTGATCACTGGTAATGGTTCTTGGAGTACGGGACATTAGTTGCAAGCATTACAGACCTACAAAGGTTGATTCTGTTTTAACCATTTGGGGCTGGTAAGTATGTCTGTATCTTCTTAATTATGGCTGTTGGCAAAACCCAAGTCTTACCTGAGCACACCACACCCATAAATATTATGGTGCCTGGAGTTTCTGTGGTTTGCTGGCTCATCATCAGCATTGCAAATGCTCTAGGACTTTCTGGGTAGCCTTCTGCAAAAGATTTAAACCTGTGGAGGGTAACAGAATATCATCCACTGTGATTGTTAATTTTAGGTGTCAATTTAACTGGATTAAGTTTCATTCTTCTACAGATGGATGTCCAGTTTTCCCAACACCATTTATTGAAGAGGTAATCTTTTCCCCAGTGTATGTTCTTTATGCCCTTGTCAAAAATCAGTTGGCTGTACATATGTGGATTGATTAGTGGGTTTTCTCTTCTGTTCCTTTGTTCCATGTGTCTGTTTTTATGCCAGTACCATGCTGTTTTTGTTACTATATATATGTAATACAGTTTGAAGTCAGGAAGTGTAATGCCTCCGGCTTTACTTTTTTTTACCCAGGATTGCTTTGGCTATTTGGGGTCTTTTGTTGTTCCATATGAATATTAGGATTGCCTTTTCTATTTCTGTGAAGAATATCATCAGTATTTTGATGGGGATCGCATTGAATTTTTAGATGGCTTTGGGTAGTATGGACATTTTTACTACACTGATTCTTCCATTCCATGAACAAGGAATGTCTTTCCATCTTTTAGTGTCTTTTAAAGTTTTTTTAGTAGTCATTTGTAGTCCTTATTGTAGAGATCTCTCACCTCATTGGTTAGATTTATTCCTAGGTATATTATTTTTTTGGTGAGTATTATAAATGGGCTTACTTTCTTGATCTCTTTTTTTTCTTTTTGTTGTTGGAGTATTAAAACAGTACTGATTTTTGGATCTCGATTTTGTATCCTGCAATCTTACTGAATTCATTTATCAGCTCTAAGCATTTTTTGATAGAGTCTCTTGGGTTTTCTTTCTTGGGTTCTTTGATTTTTGAACATCAAATCAGTCTTGCATTCCTGTGATAAAGCCTCACTTGGATGTGGTGCAATATTTTATAACATATTTCTGAATTTAATTTGCTAATATTTTGTTGAAGTTTTTAAACTTTATATTCATGAGGGATACCAGCCTGTAGTTTTTGGCCTTGCTTTTTGTTTTCTGCTCCTGCCTTTGGCTAGCTTTGATATTAGAATTTTTTTGGCCATGCCTGCCACCACCACAGATGCATAGGCAGGGGAAAAGCCCCTGGAAAACCTGCCCACTGCCTTCCAAGAACTGAGGACCAGGCACTGCCTGCTCACCATGACCAGGAGGCCCTGCACAGCTTCAAGGAGGTGGTCCACAACGGTCACCACCACAGCTTCTACCATGGCAAGGACAGCTAGTCACCACCTTAGCAGGCATGACCACTGTGCAGGTGGCCTGCTGCATGTTCAACTGCATTGACACAAAGAGAATCACCAGAAGAGCATGGAGAGAGAGGAGGAAGTCTTTCTCTTCAAAGTCCACTTCTCAAACTGACCTACAAGATGACCAGAAATGAATGTAGAAATACTAGAAATGTGAGAAAACAAGAAAACAAGGAAATATGACACCACCAAAGGAATATAGTAATTCTCAAGTACCAGACAGTACAGAACAGGAAATCCTTGAAATGACTGATGAGGAATTCTGAGTAACAATCCTAAGGAAATTCAATGAGCTAAGAGAAGACTCATTTAGACAACACAATGAAAATGAGAAAAAATATCAAAGATATGAAGGAGGAAATTTACAAAGAGATTAATACCTCAAAAGAGAATGTTTCAAAACTGTTGGAACTGAAAGATGCATTCAATGAAATAAAAAATACAGCTGAGAGCTTAAGCAGCAGGCTGAAACAAGAAGAAGAAAGAGTTTCTGATCTTGAAGGTAGTCTTTTGAAATAACCCAAGCACAGAAAAAAGGGAAAAAAGAATTTTTAAAAAATGAAGAAAATCTAAGAGAGCCTACAGACAACCTTAATCACACAAACATTCAAATTGTGTGTTTTCCAGAAGGGGAAGAGAAAGGAAAGA